GCAGAGCAGGCGGCCGCCCGCGCTGCCCGCCGCCGCCGCGGCGCCCGCGCGCTCGCCCTCCACCGGCCGCGGCCCGGACACGGCGCACAGCACCTTGGTGCGGCCGGCCTCCAGGTAGGCCGAGCCCTTGGCCTGGCTCAGGAGGCCGGCGCGCGCGTACACCGGCCGCAGCCGCGAGGGGTCCCGGGGCCCCGCCGCCCGCCCCTCCCCGTCATCGTCGTCGCCGTCGTCGTCGGGCCCGGACCGCAGCGCGTACAGCGAGGGCGGCTGCGACTCCTCGGGCCCGCGGATGCGCCGGTGGTCCCCGGGCATGACTGCGACTCGCAGGCGCCGCGTCCGACGCCGCCGGCCGCTTCCGCTCGCGACCTGCGTGGAGCCCCGGCAGCTTCCGCCCGCCTGCGGGAGAGCGCTGCTGCCCGCTGCTGCCCCCTGCTGCCTGGGGGAGAGAGAGCTGCCGCGGGCCTGGAGCGCGCAGGCGCCCCGGGCCCCAAAGGCGACCCACGTGCACCGCGGAGGACGGTACCCGCGGGCTTGCGTGCACCTTGGAGGGAGGCAGCCCGCGCACCTGCGGGCGTGCATGCATGCACCTTGGAGGGAGACAGCCTGCGCATCCACGGGCATGCATGTACCTCTGAGGATAGCGCTGGGGTACCAGTTGATAATGTATGTCTAGGGCGGCACCCTCAGGCATGCACCTCAGAGGGCTGCAGCTGGGGCCCCATGGGCATGCACCTAGGAGGACAGCACTCCAACACTCCATTAGTCACCATTAAGAGGTCAGGCTCTTCACTTCCACTCTCACCAGGACCTCACTGCTTTGTATGTGTCCTGTTCTACCCTTGTGCCAAGACAGTCAGATCTAGAAAGATCTGCCCCATGCGCCTTGGGCAGAAGCATAATATTCTTGGCTATGTGAGGAGGCCGCAGGGCACCCTGCAATTCTACCGGCAGCCAGGTCTCGCTTTCTTTTTCAAGTTTAGTCCCAAGGTCAGTCTTCTGCTCCACCCCAGCCTTCAAATTTGGGGCTTCAAGAAAGAGCCTATACTGGTTTTAATTTTGACTTACATCACTAATGTGAAAATATGTTTAATATGAATGTAAATGTATAGCCGATATCAGATTGTGCACCGTCTTGGAGAGGGTGGTGGGGAGGAAGGGGGAGAAAAATTTTAAACTCAAAAGCATATGGAAGTGATTATTGATCAATCAAAATAAATTCATAAAAAATGTATACCTAAAAAAAATTTTTTTTAAAAGAGAGCCTAATATCTACCTTGAGTCCCCCATTCATTAATCTCAAGCCCAATTACCTACATGCAACCATCTCTTTTAAATACTTTGCACACCTTTGGCACTAGATGTGGGCCACTCTAAGTTACAACTTCACCCCACCGCCATTGCCACCCCCAGAGATGATCACAGTCCTGATTTCCCTCGTGGGGAGGGCATCAGAGAACAGGAAAAGTTTCTTGTAGGTGGTCTTTGATCCTGAGCTTTGAAGGGAACTCGGGATTCAGTCAGTGAGGAAGGAGTGCATTGGAGGTGGCGATGGTGGTTGTTCTCCATTCTTCATTCTGGAAGAGTTTTGTAAGATTGGAGGTGGGGTGTCGTGTGCACTGGGGAGTGAGGTCCACTTGGGCTACAAAGTATGTGAAAAGACGGAAAGGAGTCAGGAGGACCTGAGTTCAAATCCAGTCTCAGACACTTGACACTTTACTAGCTGTGTGACCCTGGGCAAGTCACTTGACCCCATTGCCTAGCAAAAAATCAACAACAATAAAAAGGTGGAAAGGCTGGTAAAGGGCATTCAGTGTCCCAGGGGTTTATACTAGATTTTAGAGCATCTAATAGGATCACTGGGGTTTATGGATCAGGGGAAGGTTATAGTCAGACCTGTGCTTTAGGCAGTTTTGTGAACGATGGATGGGAAGTGGAGAGATGAAGCAAAGAGTGATTTGAGAGCGTGACCCATGGCGGTGGTCCCTGGGCGATGGGGCTGGAGGCAGGTGATGTGTGTATGGGCAAGGAAGGAGATGGCACTTCATAGAGCCCTCACGGGAAGTCTCCAAATCTGGTCTTGAAACACTAGCTGTGCAATCCTGGGCAATTCATCTGACCTTTCTTAACCTCAGTTTCCTCATCTGCCAAATGGGAATGATGAGTTGTGAGGATTTAATCAGATGTTTGTGAAGCGGTTTGCAAATCTTAAAATACTAACTAAATGCTATTAGCATCAATGAGACTAGGAAAGTGGGACGCTTGACTCCCCCACCGTGCTGCTT